GTCCTTGTACATGAACAAGAAGTGCTCGCCCAGCCCCAGCAGATCGCCCGGATGCAGCTCGGCCTCCCGCAGCAGGAGGCACCCGTTGTGCGTGACCGGGGCTCCCCGGGATGGGCGCACCATTGCCGGGGGCTCAGGGCCCGCGCGTACTGTGCAGTGACGTGGCAGGATGTCTGGGGCGTTGAGAAAGGTGTCCACATATGGGGCAGGGGACCCACCTCGAGCCGAGGAGTTCCCACCCCGGCCAAACACGTGCTGCTCCCGCATCATCACATACACCACGAAGTCCTAGAGGGAAAAGCGAAGATGCACTAAAGGACACCACTCCACTAGGAATGGATGCTTCCAAAGAGATCCCTTTCCCTCGGTCAACTCTTCCATCAACCACATCTCCTGAATGAGCACTTCCAAGGAGATCTCCTGGGATCCCAAAGGACTCACCATTTACCCCCACCTCCCATGCACGAGTAGGCTCTTCAAGGGCAGTTCATATGGTGGACTGCCCTATAACATACAGCCTGCAGACTGGATAAGAGGAAACCCCTTTCTTGATACAAGCTCTACTATTTCTCTCTCTCAAAGAATGGATGCTTCTCAGGAGATCTTTCACCGGTGGACTCTCCCATCTTCTCACCTCCCGAATGGACTCCTTCAAGGCAATCCCTTCCTACAGTGGACCCTCCAATAACATCCAGCCCAAAGAACGTGTGCTTCCAAGAACACCACATCCCCGTTACTAAAATGCACTGTCCCACTACCCTCATTCTCAAAGAATGGACCTTCCCAAGGAAACCTTCTATGAACTCTCCCATTTCCCTGACGGTGGCCCTGTTTGCCCACCATTCCACCCCTGTGATGGAGGCTTTTCAAGACATTTCCCCTCCCAACAATAGTTTCTCTCAATATTCCCAAAGCAAGGAGTAGATATCTTTTAAGAGACTTTGCCTTTGAACAGTTTTCTTCCATTATCTCCACCCCATGAATGCACGCTTCCAAGGAGACCCACTTTCTACAACGAACTCTCATTTTTCCCTTCATGATGAATTCACTCCCAAGGTGTCCTCCTGCAATAGACTCACCTACTCCCCTCACTCCCATGATGGAGAATTCCAAAGATACTCTCCCTTCCATCAATGGATGCCCTCAACATTCTCATCCCCCAAAAAAGACATCTCCAAGGAGATCTACATAGAGTGGCACGTCTAGTAATCGCATCTTATAAACTGATGTTTTCAAGGAGACCTTCTTAAACTGAAGTGTCCCATTTCAACTACCAAAGATATATTCTAGAAGACCCCCTTCCTAAAAATGACTCTCTTCTCTGCATCCTGTAAAAATGGAATCACTCAGTCTGACCCTCTCCTAAAACCCTTTTGTTCCCTTTTCATGTCTGAGAGAACAGTCATCCAGATATTCATAAATCATAAATCTCCTTCCTACACTGAACTCTCCCATCACCTCTACCCCATGGATGGACATTTCTAAATCCCCTTCCTACAATGGATTTGCTCATCTGCCTTTCAAGAAAAATGGACCCTTCTAGTCTGACCACCTTCTAAAGACAGAATCTCCTATTTTCCATCCCTGTCTGGAGAAATGGAATGATCCAAAATATATGAACCCCTTTTTACAGTGGCTCTCCTGTTCCTTAGCACAAGAAGGTTCTTCCACCTCACCTACAGTGAACTCAGATTACAGACACCCATGAATAGACGAATGCAAACAAATTCCTTTCTACAAGAGATGAAACTTTTTCCTGTTCCCAAGGAATGAACATTTTCAAGAAAGCCTCTTTCTTATCAAGAAATTTCTCATGAACCCTGCCCAAAAGAATAGATGTTTCCAATGTGTCCCTCTCTTCCCATAACATACTCTCTTATATTCTCAGGATAGATCCTTCCAACAGACTCACAGACATAGTAAACAATCTTATAGTTACTAGGGAAAGGGGGTAGGAAGGGATAAATTTGGGAGTTTGAGATTTACAAATGTTAGCCACTATATATAAAAATAGATTTTAAAAAAAGTTTCTTCTGTATAGCACAGAGGACTATGTTCAATATCAATATCTAATAACCTTTAATGAAAAAATACAAAAATGAATATATGTATGTATATGAATGACTGGGAGATTGTGCTGTACACCAGAAATTGACACATTGTAATTGACTGTACTTCAGTTTAAAAAAAAGAAAGAAGAAAGAAATAGACTTAGGATAGATTCTTGCAATTTGACCACCTTTCCAAAATAGAGCCTCCCATCCTCAACCTTGTCTGGAGGGATGGACTGTTAGAAGATATACAAAACCCTTCCTACAGTGAACTTGCCCTGTCCCCTTGCCCCAACAAGGAGGAATGAATTCCAAGGCAAGCTCTTCTCTGAATAGTTTTAACCCCTCACCCATATGCACAGCCAAGCCACCTAACCCAATTTGCTCCCTCTCTGACAGTGAAAATGGAACTGTTAAATAAACTCTATCACTTTCCAGAGTGGGCTGTTTCCAATGATTCCAGTGGTACCTGTTGAGTGTGGCTGTACCACTGTTACCCAAAGGTGGACAACACCATAAGAATGATTCTCCTAATCACCACACACACACACGAACATTTCCAATAATACATTACATTTCTATTAATGAAATAATATCCCACTGACCCCCAACCACTAATCCTTTCTCCCTCTCTGCTCCCCAACACTTAAACAATTCTCCTACTGCCACCCAAATATGTAAAATAGAAGTATCAGCACCACCTGCCCCCATCAGCAATGGTCAAATCGTTCCAGAGTAAACTATTAGCTTAAAAAATGATTTACCCCACTCTTCGCAAGAAAATATAGACTTAACCAGAACAAGATCCCAGACATCAATCAGATTATCTCCCTCCCTCCAGAATATACTTTTCTCTTACTCTCCCTCAGGAAATAGAGGCTTCCAAGAAGATCGTTTTAAAATATTGGCTCTTTCATTCTCCCTGAAGGTAGACAGTGCTTTCCATCAACTTTGAACGAAATAAATCATTCCTTACCTGTTCCTCCAGTGAAATCCTTATCTGCCATCTATTCTCCAACACTTCCACTCTCTGACAATATTCCCTGCTCTGGAACCTCCCGGGGACCACACCTTCCAGCATACCCGAGACTACTGCGGCCCAAGGAATTCTGGGAGTTGTAGTTTTGTCTCCCTTCAACCGAAGGGTGGGGCATAAAACTCCCCGTAGGAGAGGCTTCGCTTACCTGAGCGTCCTGGTAGCCCTGCAGCAGCAGGAAGTAGGGGCGATTGCTGGGGGCCTGGATGAGGCACTGGGTCAACTGATCAAAGTCTCCGGGGTCTGCAGGTCCGATTTGGGCGTCAGCTGCCCCTGGGGCCATGCTAAGTGCCTGCTGCCTACGCTCCTGCTGCCTCCTCCGCCGCCCCTGCAGACTGAGCTCCGATACGCTGCGCCGCAGGGATAGGTTTTCGGAGCGTTCCTTGCCCCCGGACCCAGCCGGGGGTCCGGACCCCGACCCTGGGCCAGGACTGGCCAGCGCCGCCCCACCCGACGCCGCCCGGGAGCGGTTCTTCTGCGGCCGCCACGAGGGGGCGCCCGTGCCTGCGATGAGAGATGGAACATGATGAGACAGACTGGAAAGAGATAGGGAGAGATTATAGAGAATTGGCTGCAAAGAGGTGAGGCTGCTTACCACACCTAGGTTTTTGCACATGCTGTTCCCTGTGCTTGGAACACACTTCCTACCTGATTCCTACCCATCTCCTTAGGTTTTTGCACATGCTGTTCCCTGTGCCTGGAACACTTCCGGATTCCTGCCCACCTGATTCCATCATGCAGTTTCAGCTCCTTAGTTCATTCATTCTTTCTGTTAGTATTTTCTGAGCACCTACTATGTACCGGGCACTGTTCTAGGCACTAGGGACTTCTCAATGAACCGAGAAGATCCTGCCCCCAGGGAAACAAATCACCTCCTCTTGAACACCCCTAACATTCCAAGTTGGAGCATTGAATTCCTCCAGGGCCCTAAATAATGTGTGGCCCACAGTAAGTGTTCAATTAGTGCTTTGGGGGGGAAAAAAGACAATGATGCCGTTCTTTATCGAGCGCCTACTATGTGCCAAGCCCTGTGCTAAAACCCTATACATGATTCCATTGAATCTTTGCCTAGGATTCTGCTGTGTTTAACTGGCAAAGAATAGGTTGGAGTCCAAGCCTGAGTTCAAAGCCCATGAATGTAACTGATACACCAGCGCATCTCCCAAGGGGAGACTCAGGAACAGAAAAGCTGTAAGAAGGCTACCTGAGCAAACTCTATCCCTATGAGCCAGACCCCACCCCTGCCAGGCTCTGCCGTATATTTGCTATTTCACATACAGACACACTTCCTGTTCCAGGCCCGGCCTTCTCAAAGACCAAGCCTCCAAGTGCCTGGTCCTTGGCCTTTACAAATACCTCTTTATTTCCTGTGCACTACCCTCAAGCCCCTACTCACTTTGCAGCCAACCCAGCCTAAGGTCGCCTGCTCCAAGGCCCACCCCTGAGGCTCCGCGCATTCTTGGGCCCTGCTCTAACGGCCCATTTCCTCATTCTCCAGGCTATTTACCCTTGTAGGCTTCATCCACAAAGGCCCTGATCCTCACGAACCACTTCAACCTACTGCTGAGAGGCCTCTTGCCACCAGGACCCGCGCCACCAGCATCTGTCCCGCCCAATACCTCTGGCTCCTTGTTATTCCATTTCTCGGGCCCCGCCCCTGCATCGCAGGCCCCGCCCATAGGCTCTGCATTAATTCCCAGGTTATCATCCTCTGGCCTAGCCCATCTGGCCGACCTAGGTCCTGTCCCAGTTCCACCTTCCACTTGATCCAGTGCTATAAGCCCCGCCCATCCCAATGGGCCCCGCCCCTAGTCGGCCATCCGGTTCCCCCGGCCCCCTCGGGCCCCGCCCACTGTAGCTCCGCCCACTACTCCCAGCCGATCCCTCCACTAGCTCCGCCCCCAGAGTCCAGCCAACGGGCTCACCATCGCTGTCCGCCGCCCCGAAGGCCTCCTGCTCCAGACGGCGCGCCTCCTCGCGGCCGCGCAGCTCGAAACGCCGCGCCCAGCCGGGCCGTGCCCGCCACAGCTCCTGCACCAGCAGCGGGCGCTCGGAGTCGCCCAGCACGCGCAGGTGCTCCGCCCGCCACTCGCCGTTGCCCACGGCGCCCGCAGCGGGCCGGCCCAGCGCGTCGCAGAGCGCGAAGGCGTCCACACAGCTGCTTTCGCCGGGGCCGCCGCCGGGGCTGCCGGCCAGCCCGTAGCGCTCCAGCGCCTCGGCCACCAGCTCGCGCGCCGTGGAGCGCGCCGTGGCCAGCACGCTCTTGTAGTTGGCGCCCGAAGCCAGCCCCGCGCCGAAGATCTTGAGGACCCCCGGGGGCGCCGTGGCGCGGGCGGCCAGTGGAGGCTCGGGGGCCACGCCTGCCGCCAGCTCCGGCAGCTTCTTCTCGCTGGCCCAGCGCTGCGCGGACCCCGGGGTCCCGGGGCCTCCCGCGCCACCAGACCCCGTGGTCCCGGTCCCCGAGCCCCGGAAGAGCTGAGAGATGCGCTTGGCGCGGCTCCCCGAGGCTCCCCCGGCCGCCTTGACCGCGCCCACTCGCCGCAGTTCCACGTGCGGCGGCGGCGGGGGTAACGGCTCGCTGCTGCGGCTCCCCGTGTCGGAAGACGAAGACCTGGGAGCCCACCAGGGAGTGCAGACACAGGAGAGAGATCCAGAAAGACACGCAGAGTCGAGGGTCAGGGGTTAGAGAAGGAGGGAGATGGACAAAGACCCAGGTTGCGGGGAGAGGGGGGACAGAGACCCAGAGATAGTGGGGGACAGACACCCACAGAAAGTTGAGAGATGGGGGTGTACGGAGATGGGGGTGGGCAGAAGCCAGAGGCAAAGAGAGAAAAAGAAAATAAATAAATAAAGGGGAGTCCCACAGAAGGAAATCCCAAGAGGTGATCAGGGAGGGGAGGAAGGAAGGAGGTGAATCAAACCACTGCTCCTTCTGTGTCCGTCTCCATGTCCATCCAGCCTAAGCCCATCTCACCAGGCCCTATGTCACTGGATCCCACCCTCCCCTACGGCCTGCCAGCCCACTTGTCCATTCAGGAGAGGAACTGGGACCAGCCCTTCGAGGATCCCTGACACTACCCTGCGCAGGAACTGGGTCATAAACGGGGAAGATTGGGAGGCAGGTGGGGCTGGGGCCAGAGTCGTGAGGAGGTGGGCACTCACTTGACAGAGGCAGCGCTGGGCCAGCGCCGCCCCAGCTTGGCCAGCTGCTTCCTGGGAGAATTGATCCACAGGCCCACGGGGAGATGGAGCTTCCCGAAGCGGGGACTTCCACCCTCCTTTCGCTCACCAGATAACATGGCCCTAAGGGAGGGTCGATAAGGCCCCAACTCTTGAGACCTTGAGAGGTAGGGAGTTGGTGGAGGGGGACCTGGACTCCTGGGCCAGAGGAAGGAGGGGGCTGGGGCTCAGTCTCTGGAGTCTGGGTGCAAGAGAGGGATGGGAGCCTGGATTGCTGGTAGCTGGGATGGAGGGATGGCTGGGGACTGACTCCTGGGTCTGAAGGAGGAGGGTCTGGATTCCTGGGTCCCCAACTCTTACCCTGCTTCGGGTCCCGGCAGCACCCGGGGGCCTTGGCTCCGTTTGCCCTGGTTGGTTCCTGACCCCGCTGCTCCTGTACAGCCTTTGCCTCTGCCCCAGCTCCCAGCACTGGGTGGGGGACAGGAAAAGGCAGAGGAAACCCGGCAGGAAGAGCGGGGAGGGGGCGTCCTGTGAGGGGACCGGGCCTGGGGGAGGAGATCTGGGGAGGGCTGGCCCTGCCCCACTCCTCGATTCTGGAATTACATCGCAGCCGGTTGGCCCCTTCCAGGACCCAGAGGGCCCGGCTCCCAGCCCCTCCTCCCTCAGCCAGAAGACCATCCCCAGACTTCTCCTCTTGGAGAACCAAAAGCTACAATCAGTCTGGAGGAGTGAGTCAGATACTTAGACAACCAGATAAATTTTTATTTTCTCCCTGATTTATCGGTCTTTTCTGCTGAAACCCCGGAGTCCTGAGCATCTCCATGGCCAGTGCTGAACCAGGAGGACTTTATGAAATCGATCACTTTCCCAGACCCAAAGTAAAGTATCCTGAAAGAGGGTAGGGGCAGAAACAGCGGGAACAGGTTAGGTCCTAAGTGAGTAAGGAACATCCCTCCCTGCCTCCCTCGGTTTGATCTTACTCTAGCAATTATCTAAGCTTCTCTCTCCTAGGTAAGCCCCTCTCCCAAAGGAAATCAGTGCTCCTGGGCTCCCAGACCCCCTTCTGCATTAGATAGTAGGAAACCCCGCGCCTCACTCCAAGCCCTGCCTTTTCCAGTGGGCGGCTCACGCGGTCACAACGCCAGCTATCAGCACCACGAAGCCCCAGATCAGCAGCCCCACGAGGCGGCTTCTTAGCACATTCTCGGGCTTCGATGACTGTGACTGGAGGGTTGTGGACGGCTGGGGGCGACCCAGAGTCACCTCACCCGGTGCCATCTCATCCTGGGTTTCGGTGTTTGGTGATGGTATCTCCTCCACGATTCTTTTGGGCAATACTGATAGAGGAGGGGTAAGGAGCAGTTCTGGGAGGGTGGGTAGGTCCCGCCAAGGCAAGCTCTCCCCATGGCAGCCCGCCCCAGGACCCAGGCCCTCTGAGACAGAATCATGCCTCTAATTGCGTGAAGCCCCAACACACCCAGAGGGAAGCCCTGGCCCTGTGGCCAGAGGCTGCACTCTGGGCAGGAAGCCACACCCTCGTAGCCTGAAACCACACCCCTACAGGAAGTTATGCCCCATAGGCCATGCTCCTGAAGCTGACGGGCCCTCAGCCTCAGGACCCTGAATCCCCCTTCTCAACTGACCTGTGACACGAAAATGGATGATCGTGGCTGGACTGGATTTCACAGAACCCAGCTCGCAGCGGTAGATGCCTGCATCCTCTGGACTCACCATGATCTTGGTCAGGGTTGGCTGTATCCCCTTGGACATCAAGGTCTCAGAATTGTTCTGCCAAACCTAGACCCAAGCTCAAGGGGTCACAGAGGCCTGGGGAATTCAGGGGTTGGGGGGAGTACAGGGGTGAGAAGATCATGGGACTTCAGTGGGGAGATGGGAGTCCAGGGTGTACTAGTTAGGGCAGGGGTCCCAGGGGGTCAGAAGAAGCCAAACTTGTCATGGTTTGGACATTGTCATGGGTCATGGACATTGTGGATCCAGGCTTGTGAATTCAGGTGCCGGGGGCTCATACAAGCCTGATGGACTTGGAGTGTAAGCGAAACAGGAGTTCGAGGGCCGCACCCTGTAAAAGCTGTAATCGGTCAGGCCTTGAGAGATTTTATGCCAGTTGAGCTCACAGTCCAGGATCATATCTTCCATTTGATGGACCTCGACTTTGCGCTCTGGGGATAGGGGGTTACTGTGGGATGCTCTTTCACTGTCCTTTGCCCTTTCCCAACCCCCTTCCACTTGGTATCGCCCCGCCATTTCTCGTTGTCTGACTCCAGTCTCCGCCCTTTTTAGAGTCGGCCTCTGCTCTGGCTCCGCCCCTCTTACGCCAACCCCTCCTGCTGGGGCGAAGTCTCTCACCTCCGCAATCCAAGGACTTTCGACAAGCGTGAACCTGCTCCTGGCAGGTACTGCACCAGATCAGAGGCTGCAACATCAAACCTGAAGGGACAGGATCAAGGAAGCGGGGCTAAAAGGAGAGGGCAGGGCCAAGGGCTGGGGCTGGGTCGAGTGCTGAGTCCCTAGGTGGGGCTCGAATGCAGGCCTGTAGGAAGCAGGCTCTACCAGGCTCAGCAAAGCATGCAAATAGAATATGACCCGTTTCCCAAGAACTCTGAGATGCAGAAGGAATAGTGGAGACCAAGCAACCTGACGCAGAGAATGAAAAAAACACAGACCCCAAAGAGGGAGGCTGGATACTCTCGGGGCAGGGATAAGGGATGGAGGACCAGTTTCCATAATCCGGACTCACCACATTTGTTGGGACAAAAACCTGCCTCGGAAAAGAGAAAAAAACAAAACAAACAAACAAAAAAAGAGCATCAGATTTCTAAGTGAGGGGGGAGGGTATAGCTCAGTAGTAGAGTGCTTGCTTAGCATGCATGAGGTCCTGGGTTCAATCCCCAGTACTGCCATTAAAAAAATAAATAAACCTAATTACCTCCCCCACCAAAATAAATAAATAAAAATAAAGAAAGGATTGTTAATTTTTTAAAAAGTTTCTAAGTGAAAGGAGATGAGAGAAGGAGGCAAAGGAACAGGGTAGGGCTGGGTCTCTTGGATTGAAGGGAGGAAGGACCGCGGAGTCTGGACCCCTGGGTCTGAAGGAGGAGAGGGTTGGGAGAGCTGAGGGATCGGAGTCAGAGAAGCAGAAGGCTGGGGACAGGGACTCTCGGACTGCGGAAGAAGAAGGCTGGGGTGCCCAACTCCTATCTTCTCTCACCCTCTTTTTGAAACTGAGCAGCGTAGCTGGCAAAGGTATCCTTTGCCAGGTGCAACATCCACAACAGCTCTTTCACAAAGAGCTGACCTAGGAAGAAGAAGGATGACACAGAGTAGTTCAGCGCCCCTGCCCCTCCCAGGCATGAGTTACAGGAAAGCTGGCCTCTGTCGACAGAGCCTGACATTCAGCTTTTGGGTCTTCTTGGGAAAGGTAAAATTTAATGACCACATAACATAATGTTAGTCACTGGGCTAAGAAACACCTGGGTGAAGGCATTGTTATGGTCTCCGTTTGAGAGGTGACAAAGCTGCCAAATTTTTTCACTCAAGACCATACAGTTAGGAAATGGCAAGCCAGAACTGGAACTGAGGCTGTCTGGCTCCAGAGCCCAGTACCTGACAACCAGACCGGGTGTCACCAGCAGTCACTTCCCTGAGAGATTCTGGAGGCCCTCCTCTGTCCCCTCTGTGCATTTACCATTTACGTCGCTGTCTGTGACGCGTTTCATATCCTTCAGCAAACTCCAGGATGCTTTTTCTAGTGTTGGTTTGTCTGGGGAGGGGGGTGGGCGAGAATAGAACCCCAGATTCCAAGCTTCATTGTCTCATTGACTCACCTAGTCTTAGAAACTACAATACCCATGGGCCCAATGGTCAAGGACAGGCCTGGTTAAGGGATTTGCCGCCGCCCCCCGTTGCCTTCTGGGAGTTGTAGTCTTATTACATAAAACTGCAGGATCAAGGATAGGGGAAATACTGTATTTGCCAGTCCTGGAGAGCCCCAAAATCTGCATCCCAGCTTTCTCCATTCCCAGGAAAATCTGCTCCAGCCCTTTCTCCCCTGCACCTCCCAGCAATCCTAGCCCCTGAACCCTCCTTTCCCAGAACCCAGGAGTCTGCACTCCGCCCTGCCCTCACCGACGACCCCCATATAGGAGTCCTCGTCAATCGGCAGATTCTTGAAATCCTCCACGGCTTCCTTTACCCTTATCATCAAGTTTTTGTGATCCTTGGCCTCCAGGTGGCCAGGCAGGTAATCAGTCTCTAAGGAGTTTAGAGCTTCCACGACCTTTGGATCACACATGACACAGCCCCGGGCAGGAAGCAGACAGGCGGCCAGCGCCGCCACCAGGAGGGGAAGCCACCGCTGCCCCATGGTGGCCCCAGCGCTCAGTTGCCGCTGAACTCCAGGGTGAGTCCTCTTATCCTAAACCGAGGAGGTGAACGCTAAACAGAGAGAAGCTCTTCCCCGAGACTAATGGAGTCCCAATTTGCAGGGCGCACAATTCTCGTTAGGAAACAGAGTCTCAATGCACCCTAAAAAGCCGCTGCTTGACCTTGGCACCTGACTGTTGTATCCTCGAACACTAGGGTTCACTGAGGAGTCCAGGTTCTGAGGGTCTTTAGAGAAGACGATCAAGCCACGTCTTTCCACTCTTTTCCCACGACTAAAATTAGGGATTTTGTTTTGCGAGGGTGAGGTTGGTAGCGTGGAATAGAGCTTTTGGTTGGGATCACAGTCACGGTTCACCCCTTACTACTAGGAACTCCCACATCCTCCACCTTCTCGCTACTCACGTGGGACCCCGAATTCCCAAGAGATATTTCCTGGGGTTTCCTTGGCCCCGCCCAGAAGCCCAACTCTTAGTCTGATTGGGCAGCAACATACGGTGGCCCCGCCTATCGCTCCATGATGTCACAGAAGCAGCAGCCTATTCAGACTAGAATTTTGCCAGCATCTACCGCAGGGAGGTCCCCTGTCAGCTCTGGTTTCCAGAGCCAAGGAAAGGGCTTCTAGCCTTCAGTCTCCTTCCCTTTCTGAGCCCCTGGACCCAGGCTTTTGGCTAGATGCCCAAGGCCCTTTGGAAACCCTGTCGTCGAGCTACGAAAAGGCGGAAAGTGGCCCTTTCTAGCCCTAGGACTAGGACTCCCAGAAGGCTTCCGGGTCTTTTCATAGCAAATTACCACAGCCAACCCCATAGCTTCATGGGAAATGTAGTTCAAGAAATATAAACTTTGCTCACTCCCTCCTCCATCCACCTTCTCTCTCTAGTCTCTAGGGTTGGATGCCAAGGTCCCAGAGGAAAAAGAGGCCTGGGAACCAATACTGAGAGGCTCTGAGAAAGGCATTGATGCTCCAGGACCACAACCCATACAAGTGCAGTAGCAAGAGAGCAATGTCCCAAGATATGAGTGATGAGAGTCCCCGAAATTTCCACACCTTTACTCCTCCTCACTCACACACACACTCATGCACACAAGACTCCAAAAAACCTGCAGAGACAGGTTGGTGGTGTGGACTTTTAATTCATACCTCCCTCTCTCCCACCTATGGCTGCTGAATAGAGAGTGGTCCCCCAAAGCTCCCTGAGAAGGCTAGAAAAGAGCTTCGATTCTCAAACAATTCTGTAATAAAATCTACCTCCATTCCCTTCAAAAAGCATCAAAGGGGTCCTGAAATATGAGCCAAGAATCACATCACATCCTCTTTGGCCAGACCCTGTGCTGCTGCCTGGGTGGGAGCCCAGTCTGGGGTCTGCATACCTTCTGGTCTTTTCATCTCTGACTTGCCTGAAGCCAGGTTCAGTGCTCCTGGAAATTCAGGGGCAGATAGGGGTTGGCAAAGGGCACAGTACCTGCAGCTTTCTGAAAGCCCAGAGGGTACCCTTATGCCAGCTGACTGTCAGTAATTGACCTCATCATCTCCTGCAGCCTCACTACAGAGGAGAAAACTTCCTTAATTGGGAGAGGCAACCTGAACTTGGCACCAAAGTGTGCATGCCTACCTTTGGCAGTTTTTGAGCTTCAAAACAAAAGGCCCCTAGATTTCTGGAAAGCCTTGCCCCTTAAGCTGCCACTCTCCCTTTCCCCACCTCTCACGTTTTAGCATATCTGTAGTTTTTTCAGGGGCTGAGAATTTGGGTCCAGTTTCACTCTGTGCACAAACTTTCCCAGCTACAGATCGTTTACCTTCCATCACGTTCTAAAAGTGGTGAGGTGTTGCGCCCCTGGTTATATCTTCATTAGCTTCTTGGCCAAGGTTACCTGGAATTCCAGAATCCCATCCCCTCTGAAAGGGCTCCACAAGTTCATTACAGGCATTAGAGCTGACTCTCTCTAACGCAAATCCCCCCTCTAAAATCACTCCAGAAACACCGAAGGGGAGATGGTAAATACTTGCTGTAGAGTATCCATGAGTTTCTTCAGTCCTGATGACCCAGGGGAGGAGAAATATCTCTTCTAGAAAAGATCAGGCTGGTCAAACACTGGAGCAGGCAGTTCTCTGCTCCTAGGGGTGGCAGCCATCTAGAAGTACTCTGGACAAGGACTGAGAAGAACAGATAGATACTGTGCCTTCTAGAACTGCCATAAGCTTCTCCAGACATTGCCAGCCATCATGAAAAGATCTGCCGGTTCTAGAATGTTCAGGCAGTTGCAGAAAGCCACTTCCTTTTTTTAACCCCCCTCAAAGTCTAGCCAACTAGAATCACTCTTAAAATGAATGTCCGCCTGCTACAGGACCACAATCTCCTCCAGAAGCTGCTAGGCTTCCAGAGCACATAACGCTGGTTCCAAGTTGGTCAGGCTATTCCCGAAAGCTTCCCTGCTGTCCAGCCTACATGTGGAGTGGAGACAAGTCTGCATTAATGCCCACCCACTCAGGCAGGAAGGCAGCCTTAGGTTTAAAGATTTTCAGGAATTTGGAGTTAGGCAGGGTGAAGTTGGCCAGGTAGACAGTGTCTCCACCAGCCAGGTAGGCGGCCCAGAAGCCAAAGGTACCGATAGTCATGATGGTGTGGTTGCACTGCACGAGGAGAGCAAAGTCCTTACCAGGGGCATCCTCCTGCCCATTTCCAGCAAAGATCACATCCCCCTGGGAGGTGTCAATATTTTTCCGGCACCACCCCATGCCATTGCTGGTGACCACAAAGATGGGGGCTTCATGCCGGGCCCGGAACCAGTCCATAGCCTGCTGGAGGTAAGAGTGATCTCCCACCACACCCTTCCAGCGGTGGGGCATCACCTCCAGATAGTCCCCCCGGCGCACGTGCACACCCACGAAGGTGCTCGGGCGCTTCCCAGTGCGTCGCAGGCGGAGTTGACTCAGTAAACGCTGGGCATCTTGCCTGAGGTAGTCGTGCAGGGTGAACTCGCGGAGGATCTGTTCCCGGAGATGGTGGAAGAAGGTCCAGGAGCAGGGGAAGCCGGTGAGCTTCAGCCAAGGCTCCTCCAAGTGGGCATACTCCTCCGACATCCAGTCGTGCAGCTCGAGCTCCCGCCAAGGCGCGTGGCGGTCCACCTCGGGCGCCAGCACGGGCAGGGTGATGCGGAACACGGGGGCCAAGGCAGCGTGCATAGAGGGCTGGATGAAGGCCTGGCGGCCGTTCAGCTGGGCCAGGGCCAGCAGCGTGGCGTACTGCCCCATCTGGTTCCCAAACCGACCGTCTGGGTAGATAGTCCAGGTTCCTGAGAACGAGGCTGGATGCTTGGGACAGGAAATGGAGGCATTGGGATTTACAGGCGTGCCCGACAGGCAGAAGATGGCCACAGGGGATGTCACCAGGTTATGGTCTGGACACAGGGCAGACAGGTCCAAGGCATCATGAAGGAGGTCTTGGTGGATGTGGAAGAAGAGGATTGCAGCAGAAACACAGACCAGCAGTAAGGTCAGACAGAGGTGACGGCGGCTGGGGGCCCACATGGCTGCAGGGGAGGAAAAGTGAATGAGTACTCAGAGCTTGAGGTTGGATATCAGGGAAGGGAGGCCCGGGGAAGGAGGAAATAATGGGTTTGGACTCCTGGGTCCAACGGAAAAGGGGATCAGGGCTCCTAGATCTGAGTTAGATGCTGGAGCCTTGGAATTTCAAGGCATGGGAGATGGTGAAAATTTGTGGTTTCCAAAATAGCAATGGTCCATGACCCACCACCTTGTCCTCACATCTTGGAATCTCACTCTCCCAGGCTGTAAGGTGTACTGAGGTTAGACAGTGTTCCCCCAGTTCCTTTCTCCACGTACCTGTGTGTGAGGGGGAAAGTCCATCACAGAGGTGACAGGAAGTGACAGGCCAAGTCCAACGTGAGAGGCTGAGGCCCGGAGGAATTCTGATTCATGGAGGAGCAGGAGTTGGGGATTGGGGGTGAGGGGGACTTCTGGGGTCGTAGGGGGTTAGAAGTTGAGAGTGCGCATCCTAGGACTGAAGATCCAACTCCTGAGTCCGAAGCATCCGCATCTCCCACGTACCTGAACTCCTGGCCGATGGCAGATCCACAGTCGCCTTGGTGTGGCCGGAGCGCTCCGTCTGCAAGTGCAGCCCACATCCGGCGGCCTCCGGAACAGTGCACTCAAGGCTCCCTGGCCCAACAACCCTCCCCCTCCACGCCGCCTCCCCAGACTGGCTGCGAGGGCTCGGGGAGGGGAGGTACGAGAGGGAGCGCGGTCCGGAGGTTCACAGCCTCCGCCCCTCCCGGGCCAAGCAGGTAGCTCGGAGGCGGAGCCCCGCCCCTTCCCTGGCGGCGAGCCTGACTCCCCAGGCTAGGGTGACAGCCCCCGCCCTCTGAATCCTCCCCGGACCGGGAGATCCTCGCTCCAGCCGCCTCGTCCCCGCAACTGGCCAGCCTGGGGCAGCCTACTTGGCCTCTCAGCAGCCGCATCCTTCCGTGGACGTGGAGATCTAGTGCCAGCTGCAATGCTGGACCCAGATATTCTGGTCCATCGACCTCTCCTCTTCCCCTCCAGTTCTGGGTTCGGCCATCCGCGCTGGGTACCTGGATGCGCCGAGTCTGGCCACGCCCCAGTGACTGGGGAGGACCCGGGCCGTGGCGGACAGCGCGATCCTCCGCTCCCTCCTCGAGGTGGGGCGGGGGCGAAGTGGGATGCAAAACCTGTTTTCCAGGCTGCTGCTCCAGCGGATGCAAAACCTCCTCCAGCTCTTAGGGTTTCGGCGCGAGAGCCTCCGGCGCGAAAGCGTCCCGGCGCCCACCAGGGGCCGCTGATTCCCCATGCGTCCCGTCCACCTACAAATTAGAACGTCACGGCTCCCAGTCTCTCCTTTGGGGGATCTTGGGGTCTTACGCCTGATTGCTGCTTTCTAGAAGGGCACTACCCGGAGGCGGCTTCTCCGGAGGACGGGAGCCGAGAAAGCAAGAATGGAAGAGTTTCTCTTCCCCGCCTCCCGCAGGAACCGCAGCAGCTGCCGCCTGGAGCAAAAGCGACGCTCCTCTGCAGACCTGAAGCGCTTTCCCTTGTCGAAGGCCCCTCCCCACCCGCCCCCACCCTGGCCAGAGCAGTCTGATCATTGCCATTCAAGAAATCAGATCCAGGAATTGGACTTGGCTCCCCAGAGGTTTGACCGTTATTTCCCCAGACCCAGGACTCCAGGCTGTGAAGTCCAAGCCCCAACAGTCAACTTCTCATTCAGATCTGGTG